TGTATGTATGTATGTATGTATGTATGTATGTATGTATGTATGTATGTATGTATGTATGTATGTATGTATGAAGTGGATAGGTGGATGGGAAGGAAGGAAGGAATATTATAATTTAAAGATTTTTACATGGATGGTGAGCAAAATGCATTCCTTTGGGGAATACTAGTTTCATTTTATCTTAAACATCTGTCTATACTTCCAAATGGCTACTAATAGTAGCTTTGCTTTCTTTTATCACTGATATGTTGTTTTCATGTTTTCTTGTTGATGTGCTTCTTTGTGACAGGAATTGTTGGAGACTGGAAAAACCACTTCAACTCAGAACAACTGGCCTGGTTCACATCTGTCCTTCTCAAAGAGCTGGAGGGAAAGAACATCTCTCTGCCATGGAGCCTGGATTGACCAGCAAAGACAGAATGAAGTGAGGAGACGAAGTGAAGACCTCCACATTTTAGTTAAAATTAACATAAATAATAATAATAATATTAAGAACTGTAGATAACTTTAAGATTTATCTAATTTAACTCACGTGACAAAAAAATGTTGCCTTAATATGCATTATCATACATAAAAATAATTATGAACAATTTCTTTTGTTTTGTATAAAAGCATAATATTTTTACAACTGAATGGTACTTTAACACTGATGATTTAGATCCATCACAACTTTAAGCTAACACTAATACATGTTTTTTTCATGCGACAAGTCAGCTTCAGCTCAGATAAAGAGTTTCCATTTTTTAATCAAAGCATCAATGTTCTGCACCTCTGATCATGTGACTCATGTATGCTCAACCAAACTTTAGAGCTGCTGCTTTAAAAGGCAGTTTGGGGGATTTTTAAACAAAACATTTTTTGTGTTTTATTTTTCAGGATGAACTCAAATCAATCAATTAAAATGTATTATTTAATCCTACCATGTGTTTGGAAGAAGATACTTATTGATGTTTGGCCTAAGTCATGTTAAACGACAGTGTAGGGGAACCCCTCACCTCACCTCACCACTGGTTGACCTTTAACCACCTGGGGTCAAACCTCTCTTCTTCTTCTTCTTCTCCCCGGAGCAGTTTAGTTGAATAGCCCTGACTTAGGAGCTTAATCCAAGACCAGTTTGACGATGAATAACGTCAGGTGACGAGTCTGACTTTTGTTTTTCTCACAATGGACTCCACTGGGAAGAAATCTCATGCATACTGCCTGCTTAAATGTTCGCTACGTCAGAACTTCATCAGCACATGTATGGGGGAAATTGGCCTTGGCGGAGGTTTGCACTCTCCAAGTGCTTCTAGTTGTATTATGTTTTTGATCTGAGTTTGTTTTACAGAATGAAATGTCTGAATGAGTGCTCATCCAAGACTGGTGATTCCATAATTTTTGCCAGGGGTTGTATCTCAGCATGAATCTGACAGAAGTGGAAATGGCTTATTACAGCCGATCTAAACTTCTGGATATTTAAGGTAACAAAATGTTTCAGCAAACCATCTGTGAAATGTAGCCAACTCATAAAGGTTTGGAAATGACCTTTGACCCTTCTTAGATTGATATGCAACAGTTGCTTCTTTAAAATCATTGCTGATCTCTTCCTGTCCTGTTGATGTATTAATACACACCTGTAAGCTCCAGAGCAACAACTGATACAACTCATTTTTCAAGACTTTGGTTTAGTTTTTGTTAAATAAGTATTTTAAATAAATTACATAATTATGTTGTTATCCATTGAAAACTATGAATTAAAAAATACCAGTAAATATGACTCCTGAATCCTGAACTAAGTGTAAAATAATTTAAAATAATTTAATGAAATCTAATGATCGTTGCTGTAGTATAAAATGTACGTTAGTCCCCGAGTGTGTCCACCTCGAATCAGAGCTCCAAACCAGAAAGTTTAGATTTTAATCTTCATTTAAACAGAATATCAAACTTTGATTTTAAATCTCTTACAAAAAAACAACAACATGTGAATAAAGCCAGTAGGTCAGCAGTTAATACTTCAGTACAAAGTTTTTACAGCAACACACAAAAACAGCAAGATTAACATCAAATAAAAATAAAATAAAATAAAACATTGAACTAATACAATCACCATGATGTGTGAGCAAAGAAGCATCAGATGCATCATTTAGCTGAAAGGGTGGCTCTTTAAATCAAGCTCAGGTCCTGTACCAGGGGCATATCTTATCTTAGCTGTTCCTACACACACACACAATTTAGTCAAAGTTAAACATGAAATGTCAGTGAATTACAACTGGTCCTTTGAGGACCATCTTAACACCCATGTGGCCCTCTGTGAAAATGTGTTTGACACCCCTGTTCTAAAAAGTTAACAAGTTTTGCTTTAAACAACGTCTAAACATTTGAAACCTGAGGGAGGAACATTTACAAAGTTCCTAAACATGTTAGTGTTTGGTTTTACCTGAGCAGATCAGCTCAAGGTTTTTGTTACTATTAAAACGAAAATCATATAAGCAATGTCTTAGTGCAGATTTTGGTTGCAGACAGGAAGACTTGATCCACCATACAGGTCTATATGAAGAATCCCTCAATGTTGTTGTTGAGACAACAGAACCGCAACCCAGCTGAGCACAAACTGCAGCAGCTGTGGTTTTGTTCCATTGATTGTTCCAATCAACCACTGGTCTCCACTGTTTCTGGTGAATCATCTCCAGTGTCCCAGCACAGCGGCTGGCCCCTCCCACCAACCTGATGGCATCTGAGCAGAGACAGAAAAGGAATGAATAAATGAAGTAAACCAGTTAACAGAATCAAGTCTGCAGCTCCTCCTCTACCTGAACAGCGGAGTCCAACAGCTTTACCAGAATAGGTTCTGATAGAACCACCACAGTCCCAAAGAGCAGTCTCTGTGCCTTTACACTGGAACGCTTTGGTCCAGGTTGGAGCTTCTGGTTCTCCATAGAGCACCCCATGAAGGACTGAAGGAGGCCCACAGTCCAGCTCCCTGCAGACCACCTCTGCACGCTGCTGGTCAAAACCATCTTCACTCACTGAGAACCAGGACTGGTTAAAATTGATCTCCAGTCTGCCTGAACAGAGACCAGTCCCATTCACCAGCCTGACTGAGTCTGGACAGAGAGAGGAAGAGGAGGATCAGACACCTTCATCAGTTTCTCAGCTGTTCAGAAAGAAAAGGTTTATCTGAAAAAATAAAATAAAAAAACTGATAAAAATGTAAAATATTTATTGGTTTGTTTGTTCATTTCTGCACCTCCTGCCCTCTGCACATAAAAACAAAGATCAAAATGACCAAGTTGGTCACTTTATAATTTTTAGGGTTCTTTAAGAACCAACTGGACTTGTGAAGAAGCTGCAGAACTCAGCACAGGCGTAATTTTCTGGGGAGTTAGGGGGTGACCCCCACAATAATTTGATATGGTCAAAATACCCCCCCCCCCAAATAAATTGACATCATTTGCGCAAACACAATGGAAATTAACTGGTTAAGTAGACAGATGTTATATATAAGTATAATTGCTAAAAACGACATGCAGGATTTTAGAGCATAACCACCCCCCCCACTATGGTAGACAAAGTTACGCCCTTGGAACTCTACCTCTTCCACTGACCGTCGGCCTTTAGCTTCTCTCTCTGCTACACTGTGTTTCATACAGTTACAGCTGACAGAGTTCGGTAAACGATTCAACAAAGAAGCACAAATGGTTTTACCTGAGCAGGTTACTTCTGTGGAGTCAGTGGAAAATGTGATCCCTGTCACACATTTTGTCAGAGGAGATCCACCACAGTCTGCATTCAGTTCCCAGACTTCTTTTACTGACATTAAATCTTTGTATCTGAGTGAAACAGGAGAGCCGCAGTCCAGCTGTTTGCACACTTCACCTGCAAAACTATGGGTACGAGCATCATCTGACACTCCTTTCCATTCAGCTCCGTGATTAATCTCCAGTCTGCCGTTACACCGACTGCCTCCTCCAACCAACCTGATGGAGTCAACAGGTTCTGGAAAGAAAGAAAAAACACAGAAAAGGAGGTTCTGATCACATAGGTAGATGTTTTTTAATTACTTAGAGTTTTTGTCAAACAACAATTAAATTTCTAAAAACAAACAAAAACCACAAACACAACTTCTAGTCCTGCTTTAAATAATTAACCTCTTTACCTGAACAGCTGAGTCCAACAGCTTTACCAGAATATTTTCTAACAGATCTACCACAGTCCCAAAGAACAGACTCAGTGCCTTCACACTGGAACTCTTCACTCCATGTTGGAGCGTCTGGATCTCCATAGAGCACCCCCTGGAGGACTGAAGGAGGCCCACAGTCCAGCTCCCTGCAGACCACCTCTGCACTCTGCTGGTCAAAACCACCTTCACTCACTGAGGTCCAGGACTGGTTAAAGTTGACCTCCAGTCTGCCTGAACAGAGACCAGTCCCATTCACCAGTCTAACTGAGTCTGGACAGAGAGAGGAAGAGAAGCAGCTGATTTAAGTAAATTCAAGGTTTTTTGTTGAGCTAAACCCAGTGAGACACAGATTATAGTCCCATTTAAACCAGTTTACAAAAGTCTACTGATAAGTCCCTCTGCAGCTAACATCATGCACAACATTTCTCCACTCACTTTAATATTGAGAAAATTTACTTCATTTTGTTTTGTTTACTTTAATCAAAAACAAAGAAAGGCATTAACTACACAACCTGAACAGGCGATGAACACAAAATAAAAATTATTTCTTCGTAAGGACACCACAGATCCACAGTTCAGCTGTCTGCACACTTCAGCTGCTGAGGTCAGGGTCCAGTTAAGTCTCCAATCCAGCACCTCTCTCCAGACATCCTGACGCTTCATTTCTAGTTTTCCATTACAGCTGCTGGTTCCATCCACCAGTCTGAAGTCAGACACCACTGAAGCAACAACATAAAGATGAGAAAAAAATCAACAAAACCAAATGACAGCTTGTTCCATTTGTTTGCTTTTTCTTCATACTTACCTGCTATGTGTTCAGCCCAGAGTCCTGTGGAGAAATCAGAGGAAACATAAAAAAAAAACATTTTCATCTCTAGATATAAGGAACAAGAAGAATTTGGTCTCAATGATGCTTTTCAAGGTTTGCAGTTTTAAACGTGGAAACTAAAAAATAATTCAAACTGGAGAAGGCAGCAAATAAAATCAGTTCATACAAAGATTTTACCTGTAAAGTTTAAAATTATCTTATTAGGTTTTTATTGACTCCACTTTAGAACTGAGGTCAGTTTGAAATAAATTGTAGATAAACTGTTGCACAAATTGGTGCATCTGTTAACATGTTTTATTCAAAGTGTGACAGGAAGCCAGGAGAGGATTCAAAGAATCCAGAGACAAAGAAATGATGTCTGTGTATCTGCTGTGTGTCCAGCAGGTGTCAGCATCTTTAATGTGACTGTTTAAACAGGGAGCTTTATTTCTTCAGCAGTGACTCACTCTTTAATAAACTCATTTGTCTGCAGGACTTTACAAACTTTTATCATTGTTGCACTGAAAATAATCTGATTTCTCAAACTGACTGTTAGGGTTGTTGTGCACTCAAAAGGCAGATATGATGGATTTAATAAAAAAATGTCAGCCGGTTCCACTCAACTGAATCCAGTAAAGGTAACACATTTTTTAACTTTACATTTACTTTAAGTAAACATTTGCCAAATTAACTTGAGTGGAACCAGTTGACAAACTTTAAAATTTTAATTAAGTCCATCATATCTGTTTTTTACGGAGCCCATCTGGTGACATGGAATTAAAAAATCTATCACGTGCCCACTCAATGACTATCACGCGTGTGGACAAGATAATTAACGTCGTGGCCACCACATAGCTCATTTTTGTTGTCATTTCCGTGCAGACTGTTCGTTGTTTACATGGACAAGTATGAATTAAACTACTTTATTTGGATTTTAATGGAATGAATGATGTTGCTTTGTTTTCTTTTTTTGAAGCTCAACTTTCAAAATCACCTCAGCTGCTGGAGGAGTTGGAGTTATGCTGCGTTCAGGAACACAGTAAAAAAATTGTTTCCCAACACACAACCAGGGCATTCATTGTCATTTCATAAATAGCCTACTATGAAAGATGATCTATTTATATTGGCATACACCCAATAACAACAACAACAATAAAATATGTGTGCATATTTAAACAGTTAAAGACAAAACAATGCAGGCTATATCAAAAAGAAAAACTAAGTAGGTCCTCTGGATGGGTTCTTCTTTAGTGAAACGTTTCGTCTCTCCTCCAAGAGACTTCTTCAGTCTGATGAGTTTCAGGTGAACTCAGCCTTATAAGCACTGCCTCCACATGGACAAACAGGTTAGTTATATGCAAAAGAGGGCCATCGTTTAACAACAGGCTTGATGAGCTCTATTGTTCATAGAGGGTCATGTGCCCCATCACCTGACCCGTATCGTGTTATGTGCATGCTGTGAATGCAGGTGGGGCTCGATGTCCCATTGTTTTTGTCCCTCTTTCCCTCTTTGTGTTGGGTATCATTGGGGCCCTGATCCAAACCTTTTGCTCACAGGGGGCTGAGTCATACTTGCACTTACAGCATTGTAGGAGACGTTTATTCTCTAAACATGACGTCCCAGTGGCTTTCAAACCCCAAAACACGTTACGACAAAGATTAATTCATCCCAAAGATCCAGTTCCCCGGCAAAAACAGAGTAATATTGTATATGTTGTTAAGTGTCAGGAGGACTGTGATCAGTTATACATTGGGGAAACAAAACAGCAACTGTTCAAAAGAATGAGTCAGCACAGACGAGTGTAGGGATCACCTCGAGTGAAGAAACAAGAGTTACTGCCTCAAAGCAGGTCTCGGAAGGCCTGACAGAAGGCAGGAATACTGAACTCTATTTTAGGCCATGACAGGTCATTTCAACCTAGAAGAGAACTTCAGTTCTCTTAATCAGATAATGAACAGAAACAATCTTTTCTGTTCGTGATTCATTTGTTGTTTAACTAAGAATGTTTATGCATTTGTTAATCATAATAATGACTGTCACAAAGAAAGGAAGAATCACTTCTACTCTTTTATCGTGCCTAAAAGATTGATTAATGGTAAAAATCACAGAGAAAATCATCACCGTTTTCATTGTGTTTTTATATAAATCACTGTTTTTGTTTTACTGGAAACATCAGTAATATAATTTTGAGTTTTCTTAAGAAAATCTTTCATTTATCTGGACCAAGTTCAGACTGATTATTTAAACAGAAATGTTAATTAATAATCATAAATGCTTTACAGTGATTTCTCTTAGAGTCTATCAGAAAGAAAAGCTAAAGAAGAGGTTATCATTCTGTTAAAACAGCCACAGAATGTCCTTGACTGGCGCCACTGGCAAAGTCTTTATCTCTCTTTCCTTTCTCTGACTCAACTCTTAACGCCTGAGGGCGGATCCAAGTCGTCCGACTCTGTACTAACACGGACGTCTTGGAGAGACACACAGACTCTTCTTCCTGAATGCCGAAATGGGAAGACCGGCTTTTCTCTCCGGAGGAACAGCCTGGCCGCAGGTCTGACTCAGAAGCCAAATAGGGTAGATTTGCCGGCCAGGACAGTAAGCACGCCGCTTCTGTCCACCCAGAGACTTACGTCTCTTAAGTGTTTTTACCTCCCGAGGGGAGAACTTTTATTTTGAAGGACAACCAGAAGCTCCAGCTCGAATCTTTCTGGCGAAGATCTAAGCAGACAAAAAGTTGCCTAAAATAACACTTTATCGCCGACGAACAGGTAGCGGGCCGGGCGGACGTTCCCTAGCTGATCTGAGGTGAGGCAGTGTATTTGCCCGGAGTGTGGTCAAGAAGCCATCAACAGGTAAACGCTGTCGTGTTCTGGGGTGACGTGTCATGTAAAGTCTTGAGCGCAGAGAGGACGTGCTAATCCGGTTGTCACATACACTTTACCAAAATAAAAGCAGAAACACTAACCTTTAATTTTCATCTCTTTTCTTATCCTTTCTTTGCCAACCTTAAGTTAAAGTGCCAGTAAATTGTTTAGTTTTAACATCAGAGCTGACGTTTTACTGTTCTATATAAGCAATCTGAGTTTTAATGTGAACTGAAATTCGGACGCGAGTTTTATCTCATTTAACTCTGACGCTTGTTATAGGAATAACCCACAATCAGGTGTAACTTATGATCTGTTCAATTTGTGTAAATAAATGATTGCATAATCTTTTCTGAATCAACTTGAACTCGTCTGGCATTCCCTCATTGTGTCACTTTTCAATTTGTACAGTCAAATATTAAAGTAATGAGAAAAACCTTGGTAAAAATTTCTCTCATAACTTTGTTATGAGAAGATGTAGAGAGGCTTATTTAACATAAGTCACTCCCCTACACGAGCTACATCATCGGGTCAGGACTTTGCAGTTTACGCTTAGCTACAGGCCAGCAGTCACTCTGTCAGGGATGAAGATGTTCTCATCCTTGATAGATAGGAACATTGGTTTGAGAGAGGAGTAAAGGAAGCCATCTTTGTGAAGAAAATCTGTCCACCATTAAACAAAGGTGGAGGCCTTCATGTCCAGTTGTCCTCCGCCTACAATGCTGTTATTGCAAGTATGACTCCGCCCCCTGTGAGCAAAAAGGTGTGAATCAGGGCCCCAATGATACCCAACACATAGAGGGACAGAGGGGCAAAACCAAGGGTACATTGAACCCCCGCTTGCATTCACTACATTCACATAACACGACACGGGTCAGATGATAGGGCACATGACCCTCCATGAACAACAGAGCCAATCAAGCCTATTGTTAAGCTGAAAACATACTCCCTGCGAACTGCCGACGTCGGCACGGGTTGTCACAGTTTAATGACGAAAATTACGTCACCGGGCTTCACAGCGTCGTGTCGACAGCCTCTTTTGGTACAAGCCCCCGGCAGAACTTTTGACCTCCCTCCTGTGTCGACGGTAATGTGTGATTGGTCTGAAATTTGTGGGTGTGTATGTTTGTGCTGCGCTCGGGGGAATAATAAAAAAAGAACAACTCACTCCCAGACTAGAAAGCAGAGTTTTATAAGATATAGTCAAATGGTGAAAAACTTATGGCTTGTTTGTTTGTGCTTAATATGCGCTGCTGCACTCGGTAAAAAAATAAAAAAATAAAAAAATAAAAAATATAAAAAAGAGGGGAAAAAAGCCCCAACTCGCTCCCAGAGCCAACACCAGGAAGCAGAGTTTTATAAAGATAGTCATACCGTGAAAAACTCATGCATGGAGATAAAACAGACATTGTGCACGGAAGAATCTGACTGATAAAAACTGTGGAGCTTTAACCAGGACAGATGCGGACAAATAAGTCAGGTGAGTGATGTCTTTTTTTCTGCAATGATTGTGGGCTGGGGGGGAATTCCACGCAGTGACTAATGGTTCAGTGGGAGGGGGGTTTCCCGAGCTCGGCGCGGGGTGTCTCAGTGACAATGAAAAGCCTGTGTGAAAACGCCTGCCGACCAACCATGTGACCGCGCGTCTACCTGTCGGCGTTGGAGCGGGTATGCTTCAGGCTTTAGTCGATGACCCTCTTTTGCATGTGACTAACCTGTTTGTCCAGGTGGAGGCAGTGCTTATAAGGCTGAGTTTCACCTGAAACTCATCAGACTGAAGAAGTCTCTTGGATGAGAGACGAAACGTTTCACTAAAGAAGAACCCATCCAGAGGACCTACTTGTTTTTTTTTTTTTTTTTTTGATGTTTTCTACCTGGATTACTGAGCTGCATCAGGAAAAAGCAGGCTATATATAATCTGACTCCAGTAATGTCTGTCTATCAGAACAAGGCTGCTCAAAATTAGCCCATTGCTGGCCACATTAATTATCTTGTGGCCAGGTGATTTTTTTTTTAATTCCATGTCAACAGATGGACTCCAAAGTTATTGAGTGTGTTTGGAAGATTTGTTTGTCTTAGAAGAACTTATTTTATGGTGTTTAACAGTTTTCTGAGTTTCATGAACTCTTCCCGAAAAGACATATTATGTTGACAGTTTTACTGTTTTAAAGAATCAATAATAAACCTGTTCAAGCTTTTTCTTAAAACAACATCAGAAACATAAAAAACATCAGAAATATAAATAAAAACTGACATAACCAAAAAAGTCACTAAATTTGATTTGTGTAAATGAGACATAAGTATACAACAAAGATTTAAAAAGCTAAAATTAAAAAAGTTAGAAGTCCTACCTGAGCTGCAGACAGACAGAAATATAATCAGTGCTGTGAGATCCATGTTCCCTCTGCATGTAATGTGAAATGTCACTTCTGCTCATCTCGCTATCAGAGCAGGACTCAGGTCCTGACCTCTGAAGGCTTTCTGCTCAAACGTTTTACATTTTTAGAGATCAGGAACCTTACTTCACAGATGGAAAAAAAGATAAATTAAAGGAAATCTTTATTACATATTAATAAAATTATTTTCTGTTATCACAACTCCTTAAGTATAAACATTTTTCTCTGTTAACTTTAAGTTATGATTGTTAGAATTTAGTTTTTATTTTGTTTTCTTCGTATATGAAGATTAATGTGTTAATGCAGTTTCCCCCTTTTTGAAAACAATAAAATCACGCAAATTAGTCAAAATACATCTTTTTAAAATTTAAATGGTCACATTATATAATTTAAACTCAAGAGTGACATTTGAAAGTTAAGAAACATATATTTAATACAATATCCAAAATAAGTTTGTAGTTTTCTATAGATAAAACTTGTGTTTTTTAGATAATTACATGATTGTGACCTTATTAAGTAAAAATACAAATAGTCCAACATAATAGTCCAACATAGAAAAGCAAGAAAAAGCAAAACTTAAAAAAAATAATTTTTTGTTGGAAAGATTAAATAATTTCTTAAAGATGGAGTTCAATTCAACCAGATAAATTAACCCTTTCAAGAGTAAACAAAAGAGCGAGGAAGGGGTTTTCTGTGGAAAGCTGACAACAACATATCCATTTTGTAGCTGGAAAGAAGCAATTTACTCATAATTGACTCCTAGTCCTGCAGTGTGAATGGGTAAATGAGGACACAGATTGTAGTGTAAATCACTTTGAGGATCTTAAGCATCATTTAAAATGAAACCTCCCAAACCCCATAATTATTCTGCATAGTGTGCTAAAGAATACTTCTAGGTTATGTAATTAAAAAAAAACACTAAACATCATGGTATCTGATGTAAGTTTCCATTATATAAACTGTAAACTGAGATATGCTACAATTTATTATTAGCTTATATAAGCTAAAATTGATTTCCAGCTGTGAGAATGGACTTTAATTAGGTGTTTACATCTGAGTTCAAAATACAATCAATGTCAAAGTTAAAACTTGTTAAATGTGCTTTAAAAAATAATAAGTTGGCAGCTTATTAAACAAAACCCATGGGCAGGAAAAGACCAAAGTCCCAGGAACAGCAAAGGCATTGAGTAAAACATTGATTTCTTGTTTATTTTAGTAAAATAACTTGAAAAGTTACTTCAAAAGGGTTTTCAGGTACGACATAGCTTACATTTGAATGCTGACAATTTTTTCTTATTTATTTTATAGGCTAGACTATGTTATTGCAATAAATACTATGTGAATTCATATGAAGCACAAACCTTGTATTTCTGTCCTTTTTTGACCTCTTGTCAGTTTATATGGTGAACTTTGACCATTTGCTCTTCAGTTTGTTTGACTGCCTTGCTGATAATGGGATGTTTCTCCAATAGATATTATCTGATGTGCTAATCATTCAGTTGAGGGGTCTTAATAAAGAGGAGCTACAATGCTTTGGTCTGAATTACTCCTTATTCTAGGTTTACCAGCCCCTCTTTCACCACTTTCCTGAAGTGTGTCTCAAAGCAGCTGTTTTGTTGCAGTTTCAAGATGCTTCAAGCCCCGCCCCCCTCCAGCTTCCAGACCGGTCCACTGCCGTTTGAGAGAGGGGGTTACATTTTCTACTGATGCAGAAAAGTTTTAAGATGTAAGCAACAGAAGACTTGTCCATGCAGCCTTACATGTTGGAGCCAGAGTCTGACCCAGACCAAAAGAATTAAAACGAGGAAAATAGTTGGTAGGTCCAGACCTTATATGGTAATTCCATCGCAGATAATTTGATGTAGTTGTTCAGAAAAGGTCGTAGAAAATAAAGAAACTGAATGGGCTGAAAAATATGACCCATAAAGAATATAAAGATATCTTTGCAGCACCAGGAGAGACTAAATTAAACTTTTCTGTATTCCTAGAGACTCCAGGTCCACAAAAACATGTATTTAACAGCTAAAAAGTGGATTTTGCATAAGTCCCCTTTAATTTATCAGCACAAACAGAAGGACCTGATCGACCTTCTTTCATTTGTGGAAGAAGGTCAAATGAAGCCTAGGTATGAATTCAAACTGGAAGCCTCTGAAACCTCACCTGCATCATACAATCAATGCACCATGTGCCCGATTGCACAAGTCAGTGTCATGTCCTAGGTCAGAGGTGCCCTAAGTGGGGCCCGCGGGCCAAAGTTGGCCAGCCAAGCCATTTGTTTTGACCCGCCAGCAGTTGGCCTAATTACTAGGTCATTCCGTTCATATTTACAATTTCCGATCGTCCTTGAACGCATCCCAATGACTATATAAGGGGCGGCTAACACATTGGCTGCTAGCTTAAACAAGTACCAACATGGAACGACATCGTACGTGGCACACAGACAAAAGACATTTCAAAAATTCTTGGGAGGAAGATTTTTTTTTTTTTTTTACTGACGTTAACGTTAAAGCCATCTGCCTTATCTGCAATCAGTCTGTTGCTGTTATAAAGGAGTACAACATTCGTCGTCACTATGAGACGAAGCATCCAGATGCGCGAAGAAACAAGACCGCCATCTTACCAGCTAAACTCTGTTCTCAACAAGGTGCTCTTACACGGCCCTCGGCAGCCCAGGACACGGGCCAGCTTTGAGATTTCTGCGCTTATTGCCCGGACTGGAAGATTTTTTTCAACGGGGGATTTTGTTAAGGAGTGTCTGTCCACAGCTGCAGCGTTTATGTGCCCGTCTCAAGTGAGAACTTTTTCTCAAATCAGCCTTTCCTGAAATACTGTGACACGTCGCAGTGAAGAAATGTCTCATGACATTAAGGAGCAGTTTAAGGATAAAGCCCGGGAATTTGTCGCATTTTCTTTGGCGTGTGACGAGAGTACGGACGTTTCGGACTCGGCGCAACTTCTGCTTTTCATACGAGGAGTGAATGAAAATATGGAGATTACACAGGAGCTGGCTGGACTTGAAACACTGCGCAACACAACAAAAAGTGAAGATTTGCTTGCAGCAGTTGAGCACGTGCTGGATACGAATGGGCTGAGCTGGGACAAAATGGTCGGGATAACGACAGATGGAGCGCCTGCCATGGTTGGGAGGAAAGCAGGTCTCACCACGCTAGTTTCTCAGAAGGTTGCCCAGTAAAAAAAAAACTAATTATTTTAATGAAAACATTTATGTTGCAACAATTGTTATGCCGTGTTGTTTGAAGTCTTAGCTGCCCTTTAACTTCCTCTCAGGAAACCTTGCACACTTCCCGAGTCTGAAAGAGGTGAAACTGGTGGAAGAGAGACTGSCTGAATATGCAGCACTACTCAGAAACCTGGACCAGGAGTTWGAGATGCYCTTTGAGGACTTTTGGAAAAGTGGAGGTGACATGGAGCTGTTTTCCCAGCCCTTCAACATAAATGTGGACTCAGTGCCTGATCACATTCAGATGGAGCTCATTGAGTTTCAGTGTGATTCTGAGCTAAAGAATAAATTCATGTCATTATGCCTCAAACATTTCTACACACACGTCTCATCAGAAAGGTACCCAAACATTAGGAAACATGCACAGATGATGTTATCTTTGTTTGGGAGCACTTACATCTGTGAACAGACCTTTAGTGTAATGAACCTTAACAAGTCCAGACTCAGGAGCACTCTGACCCACACCTACAGGACATCCTCACCCTGTCAGTGACTCATCTGCAGCCTGATATTGAGAGGCTGATAAAAGCCAAAGACCAGCTTCATTTTTCTCACTAGTAGTGCCTTGTCAGTGTTGCTGTTCATTTGTTTTGTTGTTTGACATGCACTTTGATATTTTGCACTACATGTACTAAAGCACTGAAACAGATTATCAGTTGATTATTAACCGTGGGACATGTTTTCAGCTCATTGGAGCTAAAGCACTGACTTATGTCACTGTGTCAAACTTTATTTTCATTTGTAAAAAATATAGATTTAAATCGTGTCTTTGTGACAGGCTGCTGGTATAAGGAGTCTAAAAGATCCACCCGTCCATCATCTGCCGTTGTTCTCATGTGCCAGTAACTCGACTGGTCTGTTTAGTCAGAGAACAGGGTGACCATCTGGTGAAGGTGGGGAGATCTTGTCTCCGTTGGATGCTTCAGAGTGGTGGAGGTACCGAGTTGATCCAGACTTTGTAGAGTAGAGAGAAGCAGATTAAAACAATGCATGGAGTTAAAAATTAGCTTATTTAGCTTTCTATAAAAATCAAGCTCGTGCTGAACTGGCGCGGTAACCTTAAAGCGATGACGAGGAGTCCAGCATAGCTGGAGATGCAGGGCCTGAATCCTGAGCAGCCATGAGGGGGCTGGCAGGGCAGAGGCACCTGCTGGAACTTCTGAGAACTCTTTTCTAACTTTCTGACGCTAACATCTGACTGACTGATTGAATGTGCACTCTAACTTTTGAAGATTCTGATTGGGCGGAGTTGGTAGTTGAGTTGGTCCAATTAAAATGTTGCACGACATACCAGGGGTGTCACTAAAAAGGGTTTAGCGAATCAGGTTTTTGGAGGGAAACTTTGCTTCATCGAGACAAAGGAAAGGGAGTGTTTCAATTTGATTATCTTGCATCTGATTAAAGAGGAGGGGAGAGAGCTACAACAACATCTGGTTTCCCTCAGACTGATAAAATTGTCACACATTTAATTATTAAAAATCAAGTCCTAAAGTTTTCTAAAGCGATTAAATATATAGATAAACAAAGCATCGCTTAGACAATAAAAGGCACACTACTTTAATCATGAAATAAAGGAGCATCTTCGTCAGGAGGACATTTCACCTGTAAACAGCACAATGCACAAACCTAATACTTAAACATAGTAAATAGTTAATTAAACAAAAAATTAGTGGACCTCCAATGGCCTTTTGTTCTTTCTGTAAGAGAACGGATTCAAAGACATATCTTTGCATTAAAATATGAAAACAGACAATTGGATACACAGAAAACATTCATTCTTTTCTTTTCTTTTTTTTCACATTTAATGAAGAATGGTAGTTCTTTGGGAAGAGTTGGTGGAAGAGACCAGAGCCCCGTTTCAGAAAGCAGGCTCAACCAACTCTGGGTTAA